AGCCACCCTGATTTCAGGAATGTGTCAAATTTAGAACATATCCTCTATTAATGTGAAACATCAAAGAACAGCTTTGAAAGGGTCAAGGTAACCATCCAGTAATACAATTATTTGAATAAGATTAAATTAGAAGCAATGAAAACAGAAGCTAACAACTAGACAACAAGAAAATACTCATATAAAGAGAAATAATTGAGGGAGTATTGCACACCTGTAATACAAAATTGAGATGTGGATCAATTGAGTTGAACCTACAGTTCCATGTCTCATTAAACTAAAGCTTTTTTGTTCCTCAATAAACCTTGAAAGAACAATACAAGATATGCAATCAAGAATGAATCTTCATGTTATATTTTAAGAATCCCTGAACCAGGCAATTCAGTTATATCCAATGATCCCTGAACTGGAAAGCCAGTTATATTCAAAGAAATCCCTGACCCTGAGGAAACATTTGAGATGGTAAATCTAAATTAATCAATATAGGTACTAAGTAAGAGTGATGACTGTTTCAGATTGACTACAAATTTCTACCATCCTGGTAGATTAGAAAATGATAAACAAAGTGATGAATAATGCAGGTAAGTCAAAATACATGTTCAACATGGAGCAGAAATTTATTGGATATCTTAAATACTTGACTCAGTACCAGCTGCTCCTGTCTCATTAATAGAACCCAGCAAGGCAGAAAAACTTCAAGTATCTAAAATATTGAAGGATAAGAAAGAAAGAATTAACGGTAAAGACACTAGACTCTACTTAGTCAGATACAAGCACCAATCTGCAGATAAAGATGAGTAGCTTCCAGAGAATAATATACCAGATGGGGCCATTCACTTGAGAAACTACAGAGCTTCTAGAAGAGGTTAAGTGTCTAATACCACCCAAAAAAAAATTTTTTTTACCCTTCTATTGTTTTTTATGCTTCTGCCCTATGAGTGGAAGACTCATTTTAGGGGTAGGGAATGTCAGCCTGCTACTAATCAGAGCCAGCCTGAACATAGCAGTTACTTATTTAGAGATATTATTACTTACATATGTACATACAATTAAAATATTAAAATACACTATTTAAATAAGTGGAAGCACTATAATAGATACATTATTACACATTACACTTACATTGTAATATTTTAAGAGAAAAACATTTAAATAATTTAATAAACTATGGAAAATAACACTTTTAACCAGAATCTTTTAATAACTTCTGAACCCTAAGTATAACTCAGAATATTATTTCAGATTTTGAATCTACATGCAAAATAACCTAGGGTAGCTCACCAAGTGTACCCCTGAATTATTACTCCTTCACTTACTTTGTAGTCCTTGAGTGATATTGGACCAAAATACACTGTAGACCCCTCCAGTTACATCATACTACATGTTGTAAGGGGGCTACATGTGTAATTAAGGTTCATACAGTTCGGGAAAAATCTACAAACAAGGTTTACATCATTGAAACCTTAACTACATGAGCACAGACTACAGTATTAAATTGTTTGGGATGATCTGTGGCCCTTTTTGGCCCAATTGGGACAATTACTCTCTTGAGGATCAACCCATGCATCATGCAGTGCTTACATAGGCTGCAGGAGTGTTAGAGTTTTGTCAGAACACCCTGCAAACATGGTTACAAGCATTACATCATCTCCTTGGCACCTGTAACCAAGCTCTACAGGTGCTACAGATGATCAAAAGCTCCCATAGGCTTAGTAGGAGAGTTGTAGCAACTAGAGAGACTCCTGAGTTCGCCTCCAGAGGCCCAGAATGGGTACTTAAGAGCCCCTTCTCCCCCCTGAACTTTGCTTCCCCATCTTCATCATTACTTACCAGCATAAACCGTCACCAACACCCAGTATCAACCTGCCTTTTGGCCCTGTTCCTGCTGTTTGTAACCTGAACTTCAACCTTTCAAACCAACACCTGTTCCCCAGCACTCTCAACACCTCTCACCCACCTTTCTGAGCGCCTCAAGAACAGTCCCCCCTCTCCTGAAGACCTCCTTGGATTAGAGATAAGTACCAGTAAGTATTATCTCTTTTATTCTTCAGTAGTAGACTTTTTCTGGGTTTACTCCTTTATTACAAAGGACCAGAACTTCAGTACCACCCCTGCAACTCAGGAACTGAATTAGAGGGCACAGTAAAAAACCCCTGCAACTCAGGCCCCTCTGTAAATAAAAACTTAACAGTTTTTATTTACTATTTTCTTTTATTTCACACAAACTTCCCCCACTTTTCACGTGTCACCCACACGTGTACACATCCCATTTTCACTCTTGCAGCTAGTGTAGCTAGAAGAGTTCTGCTCTTGGCATCACTTAGCCTGACAGAGATTAAGCAAACAGGACAAGAAGTCATTTTTGAAGCATAATACAAGTGAATCAGTTGCATTTTTAATCCAAAATTTTGCTGATATATAGAATATTGCATCAATTTCAAATTAGGATAAATTAAGGAAAAGGTAGAATTGTTGCTGAAATTTTAGGCATACATCATTAACCCTAATAACATCTGGCCACTTTTGAGTTAATGGGCTTTGATTGAAATTTATCATTAGACTCTACTAAAATTATTGAAGAGGCAGGTCATGTATGCCTGTTACTCCCAAATATTCACTGCAAGCTGAATCTGATTCAGCTCCTGTGGGCATATGGTGTATCAAGCCACACTGGGCACAAATTGCAATCCCAAGTCCCGCTTTGCCGAGCACCACCAGGGCTTGGGAGTGTGCCCAGGGGGCTTGATTGGCGAGGTTGGGTGGGGCTTGGATCTTGGCACACAGCCAAGTCCCGTTGGGCCAACCCCAAGTGCTTGGCCGATAAGATCATTGACCCCCTCACTTTATGTTGATAATCAAAGGCCACCAAGGTTAGGCATAATCAATCAATGGATACAACGTGATGGATTTGTTTGTGACTTTGCTGGAGTATTCCAATGGGTGTGAGATCCCATCAAGATTGAATGGCTAACTGAGCACTAAGTTAAGTTCTGGCAGTTTTGGCACAGTGGCACCCTTGCTTGGGCTCAGCCAAGCGGGGGTTGGGAGGGTGCCAAGCTCAGTTTAGGATGTGCCACGCAAGCTTTGGCATTGGCCCAGCCTGCTTGGCTCATTTTTGGCCAAACTTTGGCCAGTGCCCAGGCAGGCTTGATAGACCATATTTCAAAGCAGGTGAGCTTCCCAATTAATTTTGCTCTTTTTCTTGATGGAAAAGCTTCTGAATGGTTTATTCCACCTTCAATATGTAGATTATCAAAGGCAGAGTCACAAATGTTCTACTTGGAAACACTACCAAGCTCTGTTTGAATACTCTTGCCATCCATGCCCAATATCAACCATCTGTAAATTCTTCAGGAAAATTCATTGACAGCACTTGGCCTGACTGGAACTGCTGCACAGAGGGTGATGAAGAAGTATTCCTCCCATTGTCTCATTCCAAAGAGTGTGATGATGGAAGTGTCAATTGTTGGTGCCTAAACCCATATTGTATGTAGTAGACACATGATATGTAGTTTACTGAGCTTTAAATACATGATAACAAGCTTAACTACAGACTGCATACCTTACAAGTACATAATATGTACCTCTAACCCCATATGATGGGTGTTGTTGATGGCTGTTCCAAATTATGGACCCAAAAAAATGAAAAACTTTTTTTGGAGCACATGCGGGGCACTGTACTAGCATATGAAATCTAACACACAGACAATTTCAACAGTAGTGTGCCAAAGTTTAAATGAATCCTAAAAGTCACAAATTCTCACTGTGCTTATTCCAAAAATCTGATATTAATCACAAGCCTCTTGAACAGAGACTACCTTTAGGACTTGTATCTTCTTCCCTGAGTTCAATATGGTTGGTTAATTTAGGATTTAGAGGTGTGCCCAACAGGTTTTTTCTCAGAGGGTGATAAGTACCACACAGAAATGGATGTCCACAGGGGAGTTCAGCCCAGAAAGGTAACCAAGCCAATCAAGTGAGTTGCCCCCTCTTTCTGCAACCAGTCAGAATAGACATCATGTCCATGGCCAGATGCCTTCCTGATCAATGATCATGAGACCACCAGATGTTTCCTGTTTATAATTACAGGTGTGTGGACAGGCCAATAAACTTCAGTTGATTCCTGCTTCAAACTGAAACTCCACACACCTAACTGTCACAGTACCTGTTCTTGCACCTAGCAAAAAGTTTATTTTCTCCTTAACTAGGTGTCTCTTAGGCCACCTGTCTGATCTTTGGACTGTATCAAAGGGCTGGCCACATAACTTTCTGCTGATTCCAGCCTTGCCAAAACTCTGTACTTGTAGGCTGTGAGTTGGTTACAGACCATTTCTCCACAACAACATAAATTAATACCAATATTTCTGGCTCAAAAACCAATGTGAATAGCATAGTTTTATGTAAAAGATCAGATAGACACTGTGAGCTATGTAAGACCAAGAGAGGATGAGCATACATGAGAAACAGCAATGCACCTACAGGTGGTGAAAGGAGGCAATGAAAACAGAGATAAGAGAGGAAAAGAAAGATAAAAGAAAAATACAAGCTTTAAAATAAGAGAACTATACAAAACTGAAATGGAGTTGAAAATTGAATAACAAATTGTTTATAAAATATCTTAGAGCAAGATTTGGTAGGGAGCTGTCATAAAACTCAAATTGACAGGACCCAGCAAAAATTAAATATTCTGTTGTTAAGTAGTGTTAATTGAAAGGTTAGATAGGCAATTTTGAACACCATATGTGTTGGAACCTAAGTTGGTGATAGATAGAGTTCTCCACAGGATTTCTCCCCCACTGATACTGGTGTTGATCTGTAGTTTTGAGTTCATTGTCACATTGTAGTGTGACTTGTCTGGAATGATAGTTCCTGATGGTTGCTTGTTACAATGTACAGAGTTTCATCAAATGAATGGTTTTTGAGTGCACTACCCCTTGACAGACCCACATTTAAAGGTCCCTGAAAGGCCCTGTCATTGCTCAAATTGTTCTCTTTTCAAGCCAATTTTTCTAGGTGCTAGACACAAGCGCAAGGAGCTACTTGGAAAATTGAATTCTTACATTGGACTTCAGCATTCATCTGATTGACTTCATCAAGTCATATACGTTCTGGCAGGAATGTTGTCCATATATTTAATATTGCTCCTGGTTAGGATTTTTCTTTGGTGGGGTGGGGTGATCCCATGAAAAGCTTCATAAAGCTAATGGCTCTATAACTATCCTCCGTGAAAAGTGGTTTCAGGTAGTGCATCAATCTTCAGCCGCTGAGTCCAGCGCTGCTGGTGCCTCGCATGAAATGAATGAAGGACTTACAGGGGAAGCTATGGGGTCTCATAAGCCTTCACGGGGCAAACGTCATTTTGGCAACATGTTGAAGTTGTGCAGAGGGGAGACAGTGAGTTATCTTCATCTTGAGTTTTGGTATAGAATAGGAACTCCGTTGACGATTGAAGTTCTTGCTACGACGGGTCATAAATTCATGACAAGACTGCCATTTGTCCAGAGCAGAAGTTAAATTCAAATCCGGAACGGGAGCCAGTAGCAAACTCGCTCGTCGACGGCCAGCTTGACGATCATCGGCCGGCACAACGTGCCCTCAATTCACGCCCGCCGCCGCCGAAGTCTCCACCTCCACCGGCTCCCTCCCACTCGCGTCCACCCCCGCCCCCGCCACCGCCTCCACCCTGCCCACCTCCACCCTGCCCACCTTCACCTGGCTCGCCTCCACCCTGCCCACCTCCACCGTACCCACCCTCACCTCCTCCAGAACCTGTAGAGCATTCATATGAAGGGCTTGGTAGCTTCCAAGAGCATGCAGGTTCCCCACCACACCCAAGTACAGGTGTCGATCCTGAGGAACAAGAAATCGAAGCTGCAATTTTGGAATCTTTGAGAACCAGTCAGCCTTCACCTGCCCGCCAAATCCATTCCGAGCAATCGCCGTTGGGAAATGAGAATATCCTGCTACCACCTATGTCCCGGCCTCCGCCTAGACCGCCTCGTTCCCATTCTCCTCCGTTCCACCCGCCTCCACCCCGCCGAGTGCCAGCTCGGGAGCCACGTACCTCTTCTCAAGAGCCTACAGAGAATTATCATCAACAGTTTCATGGTATTCAGGAGGATGCAGGTCCTTCATCACGCCCGAGTACAAGTGTTGATATTGCGGAACTAGAAATCCAAGCTGCAATTTTGGGATCTTTGAAAACCAAGAAGCCTTCACTAGCCCGTCGAATCCGTTCCCAGCAATCACCATCGCAAACTGAGGCTATCCCGCCGCGGCCCGTATCTCGGCCTCCGCCCGGACCGCCTCATTCCCATTCTTCTCCGCTACGCCCGCGTCCACCCCGCCGAGCGCGTGCTCGGGAGCCACGTGCCTCTTCGCAAGAGCCCGTAGGGAACCATCATCAACAGTTTGATGGCTTTCAAGAGTATGCAGGTCCTTCAACACATCATCCAAGTCCAAGCTCCTATGAGATGCATTTGGCGGGTATGACGACTGAGGAACAAGACCTCCGAGCTGCAATCCTTGAATCTTTGAAAACCAATCAGCGTTCACATCGAGTCCGCAAAGGACCCGTCTCTCAAGGAATTTCTTGGTTCAAATCACTCGTAGGTGGAAGAGCAGAAAGAACAAAAGATGATTCTATCTCTCTTCCTCTCTCAGAGCATCTTGGATGGCCTTCAGACGGACCTGCCCGGGTGCCCACTGCCGACTACAATTCGCAACAGGCTCGTCCGCAAACGCCTGTTAGACACTCTCCCTACCGTCCAACTCACGACTACAACGGAAATTTAGATGAGTATCAAGCTCTGTCACATGCCATGCAAGTCTCGACACAGGAAGTCTCCCGACCTTCATCACCTTATATGGCTAGACAAGGATGATTCTGAGTTTCCTTAATGGGCCTCATAGATTACACTTCTCTTGGCGTGTTGGATGGAAGGGTTTTTCAGTGGGTCCGGTTCAGATTAGATACTGCTCAGCATCTGCTGTGACTCAGCCCAATCTCACCACTTTCTCTTCAAGTCTTAAGCTGCAAGATCACTTCTGCATACCTTCTGTTCAAAATTTCATAGAGTTGACTAAATTAGAAACTTCGAGATCTGATGCTTGGACCAGATAATAATGAGTTTGCTTTTCCTTTGTTTGATGAAAAATTGTTCCCTTTTTTTTAAAAAAAAATGTTTAGCCTAAGCCTTCAATGAAAAGCTAAAAAAAACTTGATTGAATCAATAATGTTGCTCAAACTCCGTAATTGATCATATGTTGCTAAATGCAATATATTGTTCATTTTATTTTATTTTTGGCCACATTTTTCCATAAGGGATGAATGGAAACATGTCCAATTTTTAGACTTAAATCAATCCTAACATATACTTTTTATTTATTGTGATCAAACTAGAAGAGCCCGAAATTTTAATCTTCCAATTCCCACATACGATTCAGAAGGTTAAACTGGAGACTATCGCAAATCCTCAAGATTTGTGTTTCAGAAGAAGAGGAGAGATTAGAGACGATCAATTTGATCGATTCGAGTTGTTTGTCTGCTTGACTGATCAGTGATGATGAAGTCGATGAAGTCGTTTTGAGTAGCAGTTTGAATTGTATTAAGGTTCCGATCTAAGATGTTAAAGGAAAGATAGATAGATAGATAGCCACACACCAAAAAGCTGATTAGCAATAGGCTCAATACTCGGTAGTAAAGAAGGAATACTACTAACTTGTTGTAGCACATCAATCTCGTTGAACTTGATCCCTTCTTGGTCAGTGATTGCATTGAAAATCGCCAACAATCTTCCAATCGTAAACATCTTAGGGCCCAATAATCTTTGCCGAATCTTCGCCTAATTATTTGTTTATTATGAAAAATTTGCCAAGAAAACTGAGGATTAATAACTGTGAGAGTTAACTGGGGTAAAATGTGGAAGAAGAAAGTGAATGGTGCTTACCCGAATGACTTGTCCAGGTTGGATTTTTCTGGGTCCCCTTGCTTTGCGCTTCTTGAGCCCATCATTACTTGTTAAGAAGAGCCCAAGATCGGTCCTTGCTGGATTAAAACTAGCAATAAAAGCAGCGACGAGAAGGAAGCGAGCGACCATTGGTAACGACAAAGATAAAGTATCGATGGTTTTCTGGCGTTGATACATGACTGGCCCTTTATCAATTGAAGCAGTGAACTTGATGGTTTGAACCCTGGGTGTCATTGGTGTTAAATGAGTTGTGAAGCGATGTCGGGTACTTGCTGAGCCAGGTTGGGAAGAGGGATTGGTCACTGAAGGAGAGAAGATCGAGAGATAATGGCGCGGCTTGGACGGAGTCGAGAATGGGGTTTGAGAGATTTGATTGACCCGCGTCTTGGAAGGTGAAAGCAATAAGGTTGGTTTCTTTGGTGATGAAACATCATTTTGCTTCTTGGGCGATCCACTAGACTCTTCATACGCTGTCATTTCCTCGTCATCAGATGCACTCGCTGACGGGTCGTCTAGTCCAGGAGGCTTGGATAGAAACGAAGGAAGATGCCAAACTGGGGAGCCATACGCTTTCTGTTCAAGTTCGATGATCGGCTTGCTCAATAAGATCATTTTGGCCGTATCCTCGAAAGAGGCTAAAATATGTGGAAGTAAAGTTTGATGCAGATAATGGCGGTGATCAGTAAACGATGAAAGACTAAGCAGCAAGATTGTTCAAGTTGAGTGAAAATACTCAACAGCCACTTTCGTCCATTCGAGTAATCCAGTCTGGCCACAATCGATCCACGAGGATCGACAGCTCGTACAGGTCCGCCGAGGTCTGGGAGTTGAAAGTAGCCACAATAAACCTCACGAACGCTTGAAAAATTTCCTTCAAGTGATTCTTTAATTCCTGATTATAAATTTCAGTCACATTAGGGGGTCCATCATACGTCAGAATTTGAATTAAATCTGATGCGGGGGTTTTTTATGGAAAAAATAGACGCGAATCAATAATCTTGGTGCTGCTACACCGGCAAAACCACGGGTGGAGGGATGAACAACCGACCGTTTTCAGACAGCCTAGGGATAGGAATTGAGATTGGATCGAGTGCACCATATCGTGGCCGCAATTTTGGCCAAGGTAGAGCGGAGACGAAGATGGTATGGACCGAGCAGCCAGAGAGTTCAGCCAAGCGGGTGAAGGAGGTAAGAATATTGAAATCCTTCCATGGTCTGAGAAGTTCTGGCTTGTTCAAGATAATGAACCTTGGGAATTTTGATAGAAACTCTGATGATGATGATGATTGGTGAGGTTGATACGCGGATAGTTCATTACAGATGAGCCGAAGTCCGTCGCAAAATCCATCGAATGAGCTGCTCTTTCGTTGAGCTAATAAGCCTTTAGACCTGTTTTGTTTGAGCTCGTGGGCGATTTGTGAGTAATCCCAAGTGAAAGCTGAGGGTTGACTCTTATTGATATTAGTTTGACCATTCCAGGATTGGATGTTGGAAAGATGATAGGGTGGATCCCAATTTGCGAAATGGTTGAGGATAGACTGGAATAGGTTTCGTGAGCTCAGGATCTCATCCAGATTGACTTGAACATAGCTTGGTAATAATGGATGAGGTAGTTGGTTCGACGAATTCCTTAATAGCTGTTGAAGCAATTCGAGTGTGAAATCCAAGTTTGACGCCGATTGAACGTAAATCGATTGAGGAGGTGAGGGAGAAGACAGTAACGCGTCCAGCTGTTCATAAACAGACGATACAGTATTCAATCGCTCGATTCCTATCATTGTCTTGATTCGGCTCCTGTCGTCTTGATCCACTTGAAGCTGTCCTGGGTGTTCTCGTTGACCCTTTTCCCTGATATGTATGAATAACGTAGTCGTTCGCATCATTGACCGACTTTGGCGTTGTTCGTTTCCGCCACCGCCACGGGGGAAGACAGCTCAATGACGTCAGATCGAGAAATTGCAGCCATAAACTGAGAATATGCATATATTGATGTACACAACTCAGTCGGGCGGGCTTGGGTCTACTTGGGTGGCCCGCAGAAACAGTGGATCAAGACAACAGGAGCCGAATCAAGACAATGATAGGAATCGAGCGATTGAATACTCTATCGTCTGTTTATGAACAGCTAGACGCGTTACTCTCCTCTCCCTCACCTCCTCAATCGATTTACGTTCAATCGGCGTCAAACTTGGATTTCACACTCGAATTGCTTCAACAGCTATTAAGGAATTCGTCGAACCAACTTCCTCATCTTGACCTCCGCATGTTTTAGCGAACTTAACACAAGCCCGCGTCCCTGCTGCGGCGTGGTGCACTGTAGCCGCTTGTCGAGTGTGCAAGCACCAGGGACTCTCCCGCAGGGAGAGGACTTGGGAATAATGAAGCACTTCCGCTTGAGGGAATGTGCAAGCTTTGGTGGCAGTCGATGCTGTGAGCACCTGCAGCCCTTAGTTTTCAACAAGTTTTTTTTTTTCTTCATAGTTTGAATCTTGTATTTTTCTTTATCAAACTGTCAATTCAGAAATTTATTATGTATCCCCCTTCATGATAAAATAAATTCATGAAACTTTGAGTTTCATGATTTTCCGTGGCCGCTGAGTAGCAAGGCCATGGCTTTTTCGGAGTGCTCTTTTTTTATAGCACCTCTCTTTTTTTCTATGGTTTTTGCCTTTTTCTCATTGGCTGTCTTTTTTTTAACGCTTCTCTCTACCCGCCGCACACAGTCTCTGTTGCGCATACAACCTGACCAACACCTCACTGACCGATCAAATCAACACCTCAAACGCAAGCCGATTTGGATCGTTCGAAAGTTGGAGATACAGGTACGCTTTGTTGAAGCCTCCAGACTGAACAAATGCTAAAGTATTGGTTTGCTATGTTTTCCTTGATAAACCGATTCCGTTTCCGAATAAAACCTCCAACATGATTGATTACAAATCTCGCGATCATCCGATTACGAATCTCGCGATCATACGTTTCTAACCTCGCGAGCAGTTGTTTCTCACCTCGCAAGCAGTTGTTTCTGACCTTGCGAGCAGTCGTTTCGTTGTTTCTAACCTCGCAAGCATCCGTTTCCAACCTTGCGAGCGGTCGTAAGCTAGACAACAATGGTACGACCTGCTGGGACCAGATTCCAAAGAGCAAAGAGGACAGAGACTTCCAAGCTCAAGGCTATATGTAGTGTCATCGTGGGTGGGCTCTTTTTATTTCTGCTCATTTGTTTGTCGATCGTTTTCCCTTTTTTTTTTCTTGGTCAATGTTTTCTCCTTTCGATGTCTCTCTATCTCTGAGGCCTCGTTTGGCTGTCCATGATCGTCATAAACAATCATGGCAGATATTTCGGGGGATCGAAGCTTATGACGGGGCCTCATGAACGCGTTTGGGAGGACCCATCATAACCACTCACATATGACGAAAGTGGCCAACGAGATATATCTCCCTGCCAAATCCGATATTTTGGGTCCCCCCCAAAATTTTGCGTCATAAGTGACCCTTCATCACTCTCGCCACCCTCTCATTTCGCTTACAACAACTCCATGTCACCCCCCATCTGAACATCACCCCCTCTCACCAGTATCATGCCTCCCTGTCCCCTTAAATCACCGTTCCGATGATCCATTCCCGAGGCGCACCAAACAGCCACATCGACATCGATATGGATTTTCAGGCTGCGTCATTTGCACAGCCTGGAAGAGTCAAACCTAGATTCTGATTTGACGATATGCAATGACGGTCTATTACGATCATGGACGGCCAAACGAGGCCTGAATGAAAAAAGATCACAGTTGTGTATCAGCGAGTGAGATTGATGAGGATGAATCTGGGTGGGTTCTTTTTATTTCTGCTTACTTCTTTGTTGATCGTTTTTGCTTTTTTTTCTTGGTCGATCTCTCTCTCTCTCTCTCTCTCTCTCGATCTCTCTCTCTCGATCTCTCGATCTCTCTACTTATGAGTAGATCTTTCACATGTGTTCCGTTTCATACGAGGGTATGGCTTTCTTTCTCAACGGTCATTTGGCAAATTAAAATCTTTAATGGCTAAAAGAGAAAACACTAAAGGACCGAAAAACTTACAAGAAGGGTATGTTTTCAAAAAAAAGATAGAAAAAATACAATAGATACTGTGACGAAACTGAATCGACAGGATTCAGGACATCATACCAGCGCTCAGCTGGGATCAAACGATGAGAGCGATAAAAAATTGAATGATTTTAAAATCGAAAACAAAGAATCCCTCCGCTTATTCTCAACATAGCCTCATGCCGACTTGTGTCGGTCAGGCATAAGCCCCGCTTGCACCTCACGCCTACGGGTGCTCGCGGGCTTTGTTACGCTCGATGTTTTAGCCGCTTTCAAGAATACAGCCAACACGGTCTTACTGAGCAAGTCGACGATCACTGAAATCGAACAAAAAATTGTACGGTTGCTTAGTTTTCCATCTTCCTTCGTTTGTCTCCAAGCAATTAGACGACCCATCTGCAAGTACATCTGACGACAAGGAAATGAATACGTATGAAGAGTTTAGTGGATCGCTCAAGAAGCAAAAGACCAGCATATAATTAAGTATGGAGTTCCATTTCAACAAAATTGTTGATTCAAGCAAGTCACTTTTGAACTTTTATCAAAACTTATGAGGCCTGAATACATCGACCGCGACATAGTTTTTTTTTTTAAAAAAAAGGATTGACATTTCATCAAACAAAAATCAACCATGTCGTATTGCACAAGCATGAAGTCTCGAATTTTCTAGCTCTACGGAATTCTGAACAAAAAGGATGTGGAAATAACGGTGTAGCTTGCGACATCAAGATAACGCGGTGAGGTAGATCTGAGTCGCAGATACTCCTGAGCTGTATCTAATCCCCACCGGACCCACTGAAAAACCCTTTCATCCAACACGCAAAGAGAATAGAAAAGCCTATGATCAATGTGTCCCATGGAAATTTGGAATCATCTTGTCTAGCCACATAAGCTTGTGGATGTAACAGAGCTTGATCCCCACTTAAGTTTTCATGGTAGTTGTTGATTGAATGGGCTGGAGTGTTTCTAGTATGCCCTTGCGGATAGTCTGTAAAAGTCTGATGCGACCTGCAGTCTGCGAAAGCATCCTGGACAGGTCCGTCTGAAGGACATGCAAGATGCTCTGAGTGAAGAAGAGAGCCTCTGGTTGCTTGAGAATCGTCTTCCGTTCTTTCTTCTTCTTCTCTTGTTGCATGAATTAGCACCGGGCTGGGTGGAGGCGAGTGGTGCGGAGGAGAATGGGAATGAGGAGGTCCGGACGGAGGCGGAGACATGGGCGGTAAAGGGATAGCCTCATTTGCGGATGTTGACTGCTGGGAATGGATTTGCCGGGAAGGTAAAGTCTGACTGGTTTTCAAGGATTCCAAAATTGCAGCTTGGATTTCTAGTTCCTGAGTATCGACACTTGCATTTGGGTGTGATGAGGGAACTGCATGCTCTAGGAAGCCACTAAAACCTTGACTATAATCCTCTTTAGTTTCTTGAGACAAGCTGCCAGTTCTCGATGGGCTGGATGGCTCGTGAGCAGGCTGCTGACCCGGGCAGGGTGGCGGCGGACGGAGTGGAGGCGGGTGGGAAGCTGGAGCCGCCGGTCGAGGCGGAGGCGGGGGAGGGGTAGAGATGGGCGGCGATGTGTTGGCCCCATTTTCCGACGGTGATTGTCGGGCATGGTGCGCACGTTGTGTCGCCGGATAGACTTCAACCGGGTCGTCAGACGGGTTCGTCACAAGCTCCGGCTCTGGCTCCCGCTCCAGAATGAATTCGAATCAGCTCCGGGTGACCGGCAGGGCGCTTAGTAGAAATTTATCCGAGAACTTCAATCGACAACGCTATTCCCTGGTCGGTGCACACTCAAAGTCAACAGAATAACTCACTTTTTCTTTCTGAAATTTATGATCTTTTTCCACTTGAATTTGCCCCGTAAAGACTTATGAGACGCCACATCTTCCCCTGTCATACGTAGTCCTTCATCAATTCCATGCAAGACGACTTCACCAACACTAGATTCGGCTGCAGACGATCGACGCACTACCTGAAGCCACTTTCCATGGAGAATAAATGCAGAGCCATCAGCTTCATAAAGCATTTCATGGGATCACGCTGCCCCCGTAAAGAAAACTTCTAACCAGGAGCAATGCTAAATATATGCACAACATTCCTGCAAGAACATATAGGGATTTGGCAAAGTCGATCTGATGAGTACCGAAGCGTGGTGCAAGAATTCAATTTTCCAATTAGCTCCTTGGGCTTGTTCTAACACCTGGAAAAGCTTGACTGGCAAGAGAACAATGCAAGCTCCGCGAAGAGATGACGACAGAGCCTTTCAGGGATCTCATGCGGTTCCGTCAAGGACCAGGCCAACCGCACCTTACAAAATACTCCACATTTAATGAAACTCCGTACATTACAACAAGCAATGATCAAGAACTGTCATTCGAGACGGGTCACAGGAAACTCAACACTGCAATTCCTTACGCCAGTCATATTGGTTTGTGATCCAGGTATTTGACGTAGGGTTGCTTCGTTGTGGCAAAATAGCCTATGGCCACCTCACAGCCTACAGGAAGGGAAGCTCAGTTTGGGCGAAGGCTGCAATCAGCGGAAGCTCATGTGTCCGGCCGGTCCATAAAATACAGACATCAGATAACTGACCTATGATAAGACACATTTGACGAAGGAGACAATACTCTTTTTGAGATGTAGAAACAGGCGCTGTAGCCAGCTACATATATAAGCAGAGTTTGAAAGTTTGAAACAAGAATCCACCAAAGGTTGTGTGATCCACCTGTCCACAAAATACGTCCCTCTGTGGTTTTTGAGATGATATCACAAACTTGTATACACAAGACCAAGATAGGTTACATTTGGGTAACCATGTCTTACTGTCAATTGACCAAAAAAATCAAACTGTCTGGTAAGCTATAGACAAGAGCCACCCAGCCAAGTTTGGTTGTTGTGTTCAAAAATGATTATAACCCTACTTTTAGGAATCTGAGTTTGACCTTATAGAGGTATAAGGATTTCAGGTTAATCTGAAAGCTCATGCATAGAGTTATTTGGCAAAAGAGTGCCATTTGGATAGAGTTAGTGCAGGGCCAATATAAGCTGTGCACTAAATCCAATCAACGGTGGGCCAGCTACGCTAACCGTAGTGTTAGCGCAGCGTAGTGTAGCTATTTTTCGCTACAATTCAGCGTAGTGTTAGCGCTTGTTTCTTTTTTTGCGCTAACACTACGCGCATGGGGCGAAAACGTGCGCTAACGTTTAGCGTAGCGTTAGCGCGATTCCTGTCAGCCACAGAGTACATGTCACAGTACCTTTCATGTACCAAGTAACTGCAACACCTGTACTTATGTACATAAGTACTTATCCATAATGTTGATTACCTTTACCTCTTGTTATCTTATTATTATCATTAACTTATCTTATCTTATTTATCTTACATTTATCTTATCTGTTAATTACTTATCTATTTAAATACATACCTGTGTTCTACATAAGTAATTATCACTTACCTTTCACTCCCTTGTCCGTGAAATACCTGTACCACAAGTTATCCCTCTGCTACAGTATTTTCACGGTCAAATATTATTACAAATAAATATGTACATGTATTAAATAGTAAGTATTAAGTGTCAATAGAATTAATACATTCAATACATGCACAGATCACAATTATGACTACATTATTAGAGGATCTGTTAAGTACACATCAAGAGCAACTAGTACATTGATCAACTAGTACACAATTATGATGTCACTTACAGATCATGACAAATAATGATCAGTCACTCAATTGATGTGCTCATTCTCCTGGCCAAAGCTCCCTTGATTCTGAGCGCTCATTCTTTCCCCCCTTCAGTAGTCTGGAACTTATAATCCGTGCCTCTTTCACTGA